TCAACGCCGGGCATCTAAGAACGTAACTGGAATGCGCAATCTGTCCTACCAGGAGAGGCTGCGACGACTAGGATTGTTCAGTGGAAGCTATCTCAGGCTACGAGGCGACCTGATTATGACATACTTGATTCTGCGAGACCCACATCATGTGTGCCACCCTTTACCGCAACTCAGCAGCAATACAAACCTGAGGGGCCACTCATTAAAACTCGCAGAACAATACAGTCGTCTGGAGTGCCGCAGAAATTTCTTTTCCATCCGTGTCTGTCACCCGTGGAATGCTCTCCCAGAATCGGTCGTCTCTGCACCGACACTAACAATATTTAAAAGACGGTTGGACGATGCACTCATCCACTTACACTTTGTTACTTAACACTATGTCTCCATCCTACACCTGGAGTTTACCCTGGAATTATTTGTTGTTAACTGTGAGTGTTGTGAATCTAAGTGGATCGCATGACTGCAGCGAAGCAAACGATAAGTCCTTATTTTCGTATTTAAAGTGTTAACTATTTTACTATCCTTATCATCAATATTGTTATGTTGATATCCCAACCAACTATCCAACGGGGCTTGTAAAGCAACGCTTCTTAACCCGTATAAATTCATTGTTCATTGTTCATTGTATGCCTGCGCGCAAAACACTCAGCATAGGGTGCTGGAACGTGCACACTACTGGACCGGAACTCCAGCGAGCGCCCGGAGCGACACACTGCACTGGTTGCGCTGGAACTGGCGCGCTACCACATCGATATTGAGGTGCTCATCGGGACACCGCTCGCTGAGCAATGTAACTTTCATGAAGCAGGTGCTGGCTACACCTTCTACTGGGTGGGCAAAGCCGCCTCAGCACCACATGAACATGGGGTCGGTTTTGCAACATCCGACCGCTTAAATGGCCAGTTGCTGGATGAGCCGACTGGCATCAGCGCGCGACTGATGACAGCTCGCCTAGGACTCGGAAGAGATAAGTTAGCCACCTTTATTAGCATGTACGGACCGACCACGTGTTTCCTTGATGACATGCGTGATCACTGCTACACTCAGCTTTTCTCCGTTATACGGTCTGTGCCGAGGAGCGCCCGACCATTCCTGCTGGGTGATTTCAACGCGCGAGTTGGGCGCGATGGTCAATAAGAAAACATCACACCGTTCCACACGACATTGGTGCAGCAACTGTGAACAGTGACGGGCTGCTCCCGCCGTGTGCCACTCACGGGCTGAAGATCAAGAACACTCTGTGTGCACTGAGCGTGAGTGATATAGCCATTTGGACGCACCCACAGAGTGATCACCCTCACCTACTCGACTGTGTCATCGTACGTTAGTGTGAAATGCGTGAAGTTCGCATGACAAGTGTACTGCGTGGAGCTGAGTGTGGCACTGACCATAAATCAGTGTGAACCAAATTGTGTATGTATTTTCGTAAATCTGTGCAGTGAATCGGCGTAAATTTAACATGCTTTCTCTCGGTACTGTGGAGAAACGTATTGAGGTGGAGAACGCGATGGTTGCACACCTGCATGATGTGGACTGCATAGTCACAGTGGGCGACCTGTGGCACCACATTCGCGACCAGGTGATAGATACTGCCGTGGAGACCATCGGAAGCGCAAACCCCAAGCGGCCTGATTGATTTGCTGCGAACAACGCGACTATTGGCGCATTGGTGTTGGGGAAGAATGCAGCATTTGCCGCACATGTTGCAGACCCCAGTGACTTATGGAAGAATAGAAGGTATCGCAGAAATCGACGGCGACTGACGCGCGAGCTCCGTCGCATTAAAAATACCTTGTGGACGCAGAAGTCGAAGAAGATGGAATGCTACACCGTACGCCGACAATACAAAGAATACTTTGTCTACTCTAAGGCAGTGTATGGACCGAGGTTGGAGCCGCTAAGGACGCTAATATATAGCATTTCAGGCGCTACCTGTACACGGACTGCAGACATAAGGCAAAGCTGGTGGAAACACTTCGACTGTCTTTTGAACAACCGTTCAGTGGTCGACTAACCTACGTTGAGTGGGCTTAAGCAGTGTGATGTGAATGCGAGCCTGGCGAGCACGCTGACACTGGATAAGACGCAGAGAGCACTTGCTCAGCTGCGAATCGGCAAGTGTTCCGGTGCCGACAGGATTCCACCTGAAGTATTGAAACACCACGGACCCGCGTTGGTGACTGCGCCGCACCACTTGGTGAAACATATATGGATTGAGAAAGAAGTACCTTTTGATCTGAAGGATGCCCTTGTGGCATCACTATACAAGGGAAAAAGGAACAAGCAATGTTGCACGAATTATCGTGGCATCAACTTGCTGAGTTCTGTAGGCATGGTGATTGCCCGAAATCTGCTCAACCGCCTCGTCAGTCAGGTTGTAGGACCTAACGTGCGGAAGTGTAGTGTGGATTCTGTTCGGGGCGCAGCACTATAGATATGGTGTTTGCGGCTCGTCATTTGCAAGAGAAGTGCGGAGAACGACACCCGCCATTGCACTGGATTTTTGTTGATCCCACCAAGGCATTTGATACGGTGAAACGCGTGGCATTGTGGCTGTTGTTGGGTAATATTTCTTGCCAGCGTAACTTTTTAAGTTTAATCGTATGTCTGCATAGTGGTATGCGGGCGCGGGTGCAGCTGAGCGCACAGAACTCGGATGAATTTGCAGTTATCTCTGGTGTGAATCAAGGCTGTTTCTTACCTCTTGCCCTTTTTAATATATATCTTCATGACATTATGTCATGTGATTTTGATGCAGCTTTTGTTTACGGCGTTTTTTGGGCAAGTTTTTGATGGCGGGTTGCTGAACATCCGTCTGTCCGGTGCGAGAACTCTATTCTATGAGACAACTATCAGTATGTTTTTGTTTGCTGATGACTGCGTTGTTTACGCACTGCACGGATGAGCTGCAGCACATTACTAGTGTACTGTCTCCGCCAGCGACCAAATTCGTGCTTACCGTCAAACAAGCCAAACTCTCTGTCCCTTTTAACTTCAACGGAGGTGCAATCTTCAATATTGCCGTGAATCTGCATTGGTACTGAAGGATTGGAAACCACATGCCGCGTCTGCTACCTGGGAAATGTGATGTCGATTGATCAGCAGCTACACAGTGAGCCGCGTATCCGCGTCTCGAATGCAGCGGCGGCATTTGGGAAGCTGGAGTGCCGAATGTGGAACAACCATCAGATTACCATTGGCACGAAGCTGATGGTGTACAAATCCATGGTACTGTCCGTTCTTCTATACAGCAGAGAAAATAGGACGATGTTTTGACAGGATGTGCTATATCTCGAGCGGTTCCATGAACAATGTTTGCGACGGATTTTGCCCATCGACTGGGTCGACAGAT